CACGGTCACAAATAGATCAACTAGACAAAAAAAAAAATCAACAAAGAATATCAGAGTTGAACCAAACCTTTGAACAAGTAGATATCTACAAAGTGTTCCACCCAATAATAGAATACACATTCTTTTCAGAAAAACACAAAACTTTCTCTAAAATAGAGCACTAGCTCATTAAGCATTCTTAAGTAAATACAGAAGAATCCAAATTTTCACATGCGTATTAACAGATCATAGTACAATAAAACTAGAAATCAATGACAAGAGAAACCACAGAAACTATGCAAATATATGAAATTTAAACAATGCATTCTTGAATAATAAATGGCCACAGAATAAATCAAGGAAGAAATCAGACAGTTCCTAGAATTAAACAATAATAATAGCACCACAACCAGAACCTATGGGATGCAATGAAAGCAGTCCTGCAAGGGAAGTTTATAGCTATGAATGCCCACATCAGAAAAACAGAGTGAACCCAAATAAACTAATGATGAACCTCAAGGTCCTCAAAAACAAGAACAAATCCAAAGCTCCTACAAGGAAAGAAATTATAAAAATAAGAGCAGAAATTAAAGGAATAGAAACTAAAAAGATACTTAAAAATCAATGAAGAACTGATTCTTTGAAAGAATAAATTAAACTGGCAAGCTTTTATCCAATCTTACCCCAAAATGGAAAGACACAAATCAATGCAATTAGAATTGAAAAAGCTGAAATTACAACAGACACCACCAAAATCCAGACAATTATTAGTAATTACTTTGAAAACCTGTACTACAATAAACTGGAGAATCCAAGAGAAATGGATAGATTCCTAGATACATATAAATAACCAAAACTGAACCAAGAAGATATAAAAACACAGAATAATCCAGTAACAGGCAATGAAGTTGAAGCAGAGAACAAAAACATACCAACTAAGAAAGCCCAGGACCTGTTGGATTCACCACTGAATTTTCCAAGAACTTCAGGGAAGATCTAATGTTAATACTCCTCAAACTCTTTAATGAAATTAAAGGGAGGCTAGTATTATCCAGGTTCCAGAACCAGAATCCAACCAAAAAAGAGAACTACAGGCCAGTGTCTCTAATGAACATAGAAGCAATAATCCTCAACAAGATACCGGCAAACAAAATGTAATTAGTTATCAAAAAATTATATACCATGACCAAGTAGGCTTCATTCCAGGGCTGCAAGGATGGTTCAACATCACAAATCAAAAAATGTAATACATCACATAAACAGGAGCAAACACAAAAATCATATGATCACCTCAATAGATGCAGAAAAAACCCCTTTGACAAAAAGCAACATCCGTTCAGGATTTTTAAAAAAAAACCCGAAGAAAATAGGTATAGAAAAACCTTACCAATCTGATAAAAAGCCATTTATGACAAACCTATTGCTAATGTCATATTATATGGGGAAACCAAAAGCTTTCCTCTAAAATCAGAAACATGACAAGGATAGAGTATCACCACTCCTGTTCAATAGAATACTTGAAATATCAGTCAGAGCAATCAGGCAAGAGAAAGAAATAAAAGAGATTCATACAGGAAAGAAAGAAGTCAAATTCTCATTATTTGTGGATGATGTGATCTTTTATATAGAAGATCCTTTTAAAAATCCACCAAAAGAGTCTTAGAATGACCAAATTCAGCAATATAGCATGATACAAAATCAACACACAAAAATCAATAGCATTGTATAGTCCAATAATGAACTTATCAAGAAAAAACATTAGGAAAACAATACCATTCACAATGGCATCAAATAAAAATTAAATGCTTAGGAACTAACCTAATCAAAGAAGTGAAAGACCTTTACAATGAAAACTATGGTACTTTGAAAAAGAAAATTGAAGAGGACATCAGAAAATGGAAAGAGCACCCCTATTGCTGGATATGAACTAATATAGTCAAAATGGCCATGTTTCCAAAACTGATATATAGATTTAATCCCAATCAAAGCATTACTCATAGAAATAGAAAAATAATCTTAAAATTCATATGAAACCAGAAGAGACCCAGAACAGCAAAGGCAATCATAGGCAACAAAAACAAAGCAGAAGGCATCACAATCCTGAATTTCAGATTATATTACAAAGCTACAGTGATAAAAACAGCACAGTAGTGGCACAAAAGCCAACATGTGGATCAATGAAACAAAACAGAAGATGCAGAAACAACCCCAGGCACATTCAGGTATCTGGTCTTTGACAAAGGAGCCAAAAACATATGCTGGAGGAAACCTCTTTAGCAAATGGTGCTGGGAAAACTGACTATCCACATGCGGGAGACTGAACCTAAACCCTTATCTCTCACCATTTACTAAACTAACATCAAAATGGATCAAAGATCTAAATATTAAAACACAAACCATTAATATGCTGTAAGATAAAAGGCAGAACACTTGAAAGCATACATGTAGGCAAAGACTTTCCATACAGAACCCCAATTGCACAAGAAATGACATCAAAAATCAAAATGGGATTATGTCAAATTAAAAAGCTCCTGTACAACAAAGGAAACAACCAACAGAATTAAGAGGCCACCTACAGAATGGGAATTTTTTTCACCAGATACACTTCATACAGAAGACTAATATTTAGAATATATAAAGAACTAAAAAAATTAGACCCCCCCCATTTAAAAACCCAATCAAAACATTGGCATCTAAAATGAATAGATACTTTTCAGAAGAAGTACAAATGACCAACAAACACGTGAAAAAATGCTCAACATCACCAACCATTTGAGAAATGCAAATTAATACAACACTGAGATTTCATCTTACCCCAGAAAAAAATGACCATCATCCAGAAATCAAATAACATGCTAGCGAGGCTACAGAGAAAAAGGAAACCTTCCACACTGTTGGTGTGAATGTAAACTAGTACAACCACTATGGAGATTCCTGAAAAAATGAAAACTAGAAATTCCATTTACCCAGCTATTCCTCTCCTAAGTATCTTCCCAAAAGAGTTGAAGACATCATATTACAGTGACACATGCATACTCATGTTTATAGCAGCACAATTCACAATAGCTAAATCTTGGGAGAGGCCTATATGCCCATCAACAGAAGAATGAACAAAGAAAATGTGGTATTTAGACACAATGGAGTACTACTCTACCATAAAGGATAAACTGAGTCACTAATAGGAAAATGGATGGACCTTGAGACCATAATGTTAAGTGAAACAAATCAGATACACAAGCTTAAATAGCACATGCTTTCTCTTATATAGAAACCCAAAGTATGAATAAATTAAGAGCAAAATAAAAGATAGATAATAGGAAACAGGGAGATATATCTTTTACAAAAGGGAAGAGGACCAATAAGTGGAGGGAGTCGGGAAGGGAGAGGAAGGAGAATGAAAAAAAATAAGATATGTTACGTACATGTATTAACTCCTCACAATGAATGTAATTGTTATGTACTGCAAACAGGTACTAATAAAAATAAAAATTATACATATTAAACAAAAAGGAGAAATTCAGATTTTCTTCAAAAGGGAAGAAAGAAAACCCAACAAATCTCTCATCAGTATGTTTGCCTTATAAGAAACTACGGAAATCTATGCCAAAGTAGAAGCACACGGGCAGTAGCTTAAATTCATCAGAGCAAATAAAGAGTGCTGTAAAGATAACAACATAGAAAAACATAAAACATAGAGTTTTTGTAACTCTTCATTTCTTGTCTGATTTAAAAAGCAATTGTAGAAAGCAATAATTAGAAATTATGTTTATATTTAGTCTATGTGACAATACAGTTCATTGTTTATAAATATTTAGTCTATATGACAATAATAGCACAAAGGAAGGAATCAGAATGCTCTATATTGGGGCAAAGTTTTTTTGTATACAGTTAAAATTAAGTTGCTACTAATCCAAACTCAATTTTTAAGAATTATGGTAGTAATTGTAATCCCTACTAAAGAAATCATTCAAAAAAAGTTATAATATAAGAAATGAATGATGCTTACCACTGGTCTAGGAAATGATGCTTACCATTAATCATTAGGAAAACAGAAATCAAAACCAAAGTGAGATGTCCCTTCAGACCCACTAGGATGGCTATATTAAAAAGAAAATAACAAGTGGGTTTTTTGTATTTGTGTGTTTGTTTGTTTGTTTTTGAGCCTGTGTTTTACTATGCAGTCCAGGCTGGCCTCGAACTCACTTTGTAGCCCAGACTGGCCTCAAACTCTCAGTCCTCTGTGTTAACCTACCAAATGTGGGTAGAGACACAGAAAAACTGAAAGCCTCATACATTGTTGGTGGGAATGTAAAATAGTATAGCCACTTTAGAAAAGAGCTTAGCGTTCTTCAAACAGCTAAACATAGTTACACACAACCCATCAGTTCCACTCTGAAATACCCATGATTATTGAAAATGAATATGCACAGAGACTTGTACATGAAAGCTATAGCAGCATTATACATACTGGGCAAAACCAAGGAAGCATTTTTATGGAGTTTACTGTGCTGACAAGTCATGGGCATTGCTTTCTAGATGAAGCTGTAGAGCAGCCTTTTTTTTAGCTTTCTGCTCCCAGGTGGGGAATGTATTTTGAAATCTTACAGAGCTAGAGACACAAGGTCCCTCTCTCCCCTGGCGTGGCAAAGTGTGGTGGTGTGCACCAGGCTTATGCTTTGGATTCTTCCAGCACACAAACACCTGTGAGAGCACAACTGGGAGTAGCACAGGAGAAGTGTCCTCTGTAGCGGGTAGTGACCAAAGAGCTTGGCTACACAAAAGGATTCTGGGTAAAAGGGCCCCAGCAGAGCCAACAGGTGACTGTGAGCCTTACCACACCCGGAGAAGGGTGACCTCCCCCACTTGGCCCACAAGCTGAGCTCCCTAGAGTCTGCACAGGGGCCAGTGAGGAGCAGACAGGCACGGGGCAGTGGTGCCTCATTAAGGAATGAAGAAACTTGTACAAGGAGATCCTAAGAAGCCAAGCCAAGAGGGAAAGCGCCACCTCTGTGCAAACTCACCAGAAGTACCTGATGCTTCCATTAACTTCTCAGTTATCTGAGAGATGCTCAGAGAGGTGAAAGACCATATCTGTTAAAGAGAAAGGAAAACTTGAACACATGGCAAAGGTAGACAACACCTGTAGACAGAAATGAAAACCTGTTTCCCTCCTACAAGGGATATGCAAAAGAAGTTCAAGGATCCCAATACACCTCAGGCCTCCTTTGGTCTTCTTGTTCTGTGTATTGCCCCCAAATCAAAGATCGTCCCCACCTGTCCATGGGTGATGTCACAAAGTCACGGGAGAGACATGAGGTGGCCCTGCTGCAGGTGACAAGCAGCCTTGGGGGGAGAAGGCTGTGAGCAAAGGAAATAGGAAGAAGGTATTGCTGCCACCAAGCTAAAGGGAAACCACTCCAGCAGAGCTTGGAGTTGTCAAGGCTGAAAAACACAAGAAGGAAGAGTAGGAAGATGAAGAAGATGCAGATGAAGAGAAAGAGGGAGATGGAAAATGAAGATAAAGTAACAAATAAATAGGTTCCCCCAGGCTTTTTCCTTACTATAAATAGCATTTAACCCTCCTGTTTCAACCCGCTCTTTTTAAAGAAAAAAAATTAAAATATAAGACTAAGATTTATTTTTAAACTGCTTGCTGTATTTTTATGCATATTTAACACACTACAAAAAGTGCCTTTAAATAGCCATGTCCTGGTGGTATTTTCAATTGCCACTAACGTCGCTTTGTACAGAATTGGGGGTTGTAAATTGGCATGGAAATTTAAACCAGATTCTTGCTGGTGCACAGCACAAATTGGTTATATATGGGGCCATTATTTCTTGCATCTTTAGTTGACTCTGATGCAGTTTATATGAAATAATAGTTCTTCTGTTGACTGTATGCCAGCCTGTAATTGCAAAAAAGAAGTTGAAACTATTTTGTTGACATTCTGAATACTTCTAAATAAATACTATTAAGCTGAGCATTGTGGTGCACATGCCTATAATTCCAGCACTCAGGAGGCTGAGGCAGGAGGATCACCATGAGTTAAAGTCCAGCATGAACTACTTAGTGAGATCCTGTCTCCAAAATAAATAAATAAATAAATACTATTTTTATTTTTAAAAAGGAAGTGAAAGAAGGAGGGAGAATATAAGGTAAATGAAAGAAGGCAGAACAGAGATGAATGATAACAGGGATGGTAGATAAGAAAAAAGATGCCTAGGTATTTCTGCATCACGATGTCTGTGTCTCATAGTCTTTTCTTCTCTTCATAAAAAGCAATATTCCCACCTGTGAAAAGTGAGAAAAAGGAACAAAGAGTGGAATCAGCTGCTGAATGGGTCTATGGTTCTTCTTCACTAGGTTATTCCATCGCAAATGTTAAGCGGCGTGAGAGGCACATTTTTGTTCTTTTCAAGACTTTTGCTGTCTGAGTTAAAGATGAAGATTCTCTACCAAGTCCTCTCATCAAGAAAGCACTTGAGCCATATGTGGTGCCATGGTCTTGGAATCCCAGCACTCAGGAGGCTGAGGCAGTGAGTTTGAGGCCAGTCTAGGCTATCCTGTGGGGGGACCCCATGGAAGGGGGGAGGGGGGGAGGGGGGGAGGGGGAGAGAGAGAGGAAGAAAGAAGGAAAGAAAAGAAAGGCCTGGGTAAGCAGTCAGCAGCCTGTCCCTAGCTGTGAGCTTTGTCCAGAGGCTTTCCCCACAGCCTCCCTCTTCCTAAGGCAGTGTGCACCTGATGTGCGTGTGGGACAGGGGTATAAAGTCCTGGCATTTGGGGTTTATTCTCCCAGAGTTCTGTGCCAGGTCAGATGAAGCTTTTTGACTCAAATAGCAAGTCCCTTTTTCCTCTGCCCAGTCTGCTTCCATCTCTTACCTTTTACCAGTACCCACTCTAGTTAAACATCTTGCTGCCAAATTCTGCCTCACATTTTGCTTCTAGAAAATGCAACCTATGACACTATCTTTTTTTTTTAACCTTCATGCATTACAGGCAAGACGAAGGCCAATAGTCCTCTTATATTCGACAAGAAAATTCACAAATATTGTGTCTTCCAGAAAACATAAAGTCAGTTCACATATTTATTTCCAGCACAACACATTAGTAAGTAATCACAAACAGTGTGCAACCTGTTAAGGATGAAAGGCTGCTTTTGCAGGCCTTAGCAACAATCTCTGGTATCCATCTGTCTAACAGGAATTCCAGGTTACAGAGTCAGCAACCACTGCTTAGTACAGGTCCTGTTTTTATTTTTATTTTATATATTTTTTTCAAGACAAAGCTTTGCTATGTCACCAGGCTGGCTTGAACTCATTATGTAGCCCAGGCTGGCCTTGAACTCATGGCAATCCTCCTGCCTCAGCCTTCCAAGTGCTGGGATTACAGGCAGGAGCCACCATGCCCAGCCCAGCCTTCTGCTTGTATAAAGAAAGCTTTATTGGAACACAACTATCCTCACTTGTTTACTTATTTATTTATAAGTGCTTCTACCCTACAACAGCAGAGTTGAGTAGTTATAGCAGAGACCATATAGCCTGCATGCATGAAATATTTACTCCCTGGCTTTTAAGAAAAAGAAGATTCTGTGAAGTAGGTTTTACAAGGACAGTGTTCGAAGAAAAATGCTACCTGCTTTTTTAGTCAGCTTCCGGGAGAGGGAGCAGATGAAAGTGCCTCTAGTTTTTACAAGCCAAGTCCTGGGAGTCCATTAACTGACAATGGGGAGGAAAAGGCAACTGCAGGAACCCCAAGCAATATAAACAGAAAAGGGCCAAGTGGGAGTATTAGCAAATGAAATTGGAGGCATAGTATGTTTAATCTACACTGGTCACAGGCAAAAACAATGAAGGCAACTTTAGGTGTCTCAGGGCCAAGTCTGAGAAGGTTCCAGTTGGGAGTAGGATGAGAAAAAAAATAAATGCTCAGATTGCAATTTATTCTATCACAAGATTCATGGAAAATCAAAACTAGAGTAAGAACAGCATAAGCACAGGATGAGGTCCAGCGAGCTCATCTTGCTGGGGACTTCTCACACTCGCTGGCAGATGCCACAGTGTGGGCACAAGGTGAAGGCAGCTCAGGGGACAAGGCCCTGATTGGCACAGAGGGTGAGTTGTGCCCGCAGGGCACCACCAGGGCCTGGAAACAACCATACCACCGTGCGTCTGCCGCTCAGAAAGATGAATCAACACATGCCATGTCTGAATTCTTCTCTGAAATTTCCCCGTGTGTAGCCAGTTGGGGTCTTCGGCAGGCCAGGCATTTCAGGCAAGCATGTTGGGGGTGCAGCAGGCACCCATCTTTTGCTCCCAGGTTCTGCTTCGTTAATACAGCTACTGCTCTTCTCAGGTCCCCACACTTCCTTCTTACCCGGAGACCCAAATGGTCTAAACTCTCAACTGCAAAACAAACAGGGGCCTCACTCACTTCCTCGCCTCTTTTTTCAACTAATAATTACTGCAGGCAAATCCCAGCCAAACACTTGACGTAAGGCCCTTTAATTATTTAAAAACAATACTCGTAGCTATTCCTACCACTTTTCCTGTGCTTAGCAGTCGCTACTGTGCTCTTAGTCTGAGCAAAATAAATCAACACACATGTCTGAAGAGTGTGTGTGCTTTCCACAAAAAAAGGTTAGAAAATACACACAGGCTTCAACTTGACATGTCACCCAGGCCTCTTCAGTCCCGTGTCACATCTGCCTGGCACTGTTCCCTTTAGCTCTTTGGAAAAGTGCTTATCTACCATTTCTAAAGATTTCACTTTTTAATGTTATACCTTCCTTTCCTCAAACCTATTTATATAAGACTAAATCAAACTGTGCCAAGGCATCACTTTTTCATTTGATTCCAAGCCTACATAATGATTTCCCATTTGAAACAACAATTATTTTATCAGAAGAAACAGCTGCAAACACAGCAATTCCAATGAACCGCCATTAACAGAATGCTCCCTGCTGTCCAGCCAGATGTTTAGCTCTAAATACTGAGCTGTTTATAGCACTGGGATCAGGGAGATGAGCAGCACGGGGCACTGCCCTGAGGTGGTCCCAGCCCCTCTGCCCAGTGCTCCAGCACTGGGGACAGACGTCTTTGTCACTCCCTACCTTTGCCCCTCTTCTCCCTGGACCTCCTGCCCCGACTTCCTCAGTAAATTCTCTGAAGCCAGTGCCATCAGTTGAGATCTACTATCCATATCTATCATTCCAAAAAATTCTAGTGTTTAAAAAGTTTTACAGGATTAAAATTAGTAGTACATAAACTTTCACAGCTCTATTAGTCACCGTTCTATCACTAGGATACAGTATGTGGCATATTTAAAGGAAGAGAGGTTGATTTTGGCCCAGAGTTTCAGAGATTTCAGTCCATGGTTGGCTGGCTCCAAGGAAGAAACATGGCAGAGAAAAACTATTCACCTCATAGTGGCCAGAAGCAGAGACAATGGAAGCAGAGCCAGGGCAGCGGGGTGGGGGTGGGGGGGTCTTCCAGGTCATGGCTCCAGTGACACATTTCCTCCAACCAGCCCACCTCCTAACAGCACACTCAGCTATGAACTCACGTGTGGGATTATCATGATCCTGTCACCTTCTCAAAGCCCCACCTCTGAACACATAAGACTTTTAGAGGGACATTTTAGATGTAAACCATAACAATGTCTTCTTTCCCCGTCCCCATGAGTAACTCAGTAAAGTTTGGGAACTGTCATACTCTTAAGTATTTTTCCACTTGTCTTTCTCATGGGGCTTATGAGAAAGATGGGGAATGTGATAGGAAGTCTAGAACAGACAGATGGTGGTGGCAGTTTTTGGTTAGGAGTGGTACTTTTCAACTTTTCTGTTGCTAGTACAAGGTCCCTGACACCCAAAACTTAAAGGAAGGGAGTTTAAATTAGCTCACAGTTTCAGAGGATTCAGTCCATGTTCAGCTGGCTCCAAGGCAGAACTATCATGATGGAAGGGCATAGTGGAGCAAAGCTTCTCAGCTCATAGCGGCCAGAAAGTAGATCAGGGGAGCAGCACCGGAGAGGAAGAGGCCAGGAACCAGATATAGATCCCAAGGTTACATTTCCGTGACCCACCCAGATA